AGATGAAAATAAGTACTCAGAGACCTCAATAAGCAACTCAAGAGTATAAAGAAGAATGGAAAAAGGAAATGCAGTATTTACCACGTAACATAAGAAAAACCACCCAAACTTCAACGCACTGTCAGTCCTGCAAACAAGATTGATATCAGAATATACTCTATAGAAGGTACAATCACACTATGGCAATATACAGAAAAATAATACTCCATAAACCTATTCCCTCCTGTCGGGGAGCACACATCTATTTTCCCACACTAAGAAAGCACAAATGTGTACCTCATTGCACGATAAAGAGGCCGATACCACAATAAATAGGCTCCTGGAACACCTGATATTAAGTAGATAACAGCAAGCAACCAGATCGTTGGACCTACAATGACAAAATGCTAACCTTAGATAAGTCAATTTTCACTAAAGGATAAGGGATTTTAGTAATTTCAGTTCCACAGCAACCTTGTCCTCTGATCCAAGCTAAGGTAACAGCTATAAGGTTCCATACAAGACAGGCTGCCAAACCTGCAATTCACCATGTCCTAAGTCAGTCAACCACCATATGACCATAAGAGCATTAACTAGAGAAACCAGTTCAAAGAAAGTAGTCCGATTCAACAATAAAAGAAGACAATTCATGTCATGAATCATTCTAACAAAAACCATCTAGGAAATTTCTCTCATTCATTTTTATCTCAATTTGGACTAGTTGATTTGAGATGTACAGCTAAAAGTAACATGACTTCAAATCTTAGCCCAAATTCCAAAGATATTTGCAGGCACTTAGAGGAAATTGTAGACCCTCTTGATCCAAATGTCACTAAAATCATTGCACAAGAAGCTTGTCTACAGTATGGAGTTTATATTTTACAATTTTTAGAAGCATAAACGCAATTATGCAAATAGATAGCTGGAATACCATACAGAACACTTTCCTTTTGGAACAGAGTCAACAAGGCAAGAGAAAGTAGTGAAAACTATTAATATGCAGGTCAGCTTAACCTAAAAGGTTGAAGAATACTTATTAGAAAGGTCAAGTGAGAGGCACTAATAGCATCGATAGAATAGAGAGTTATACAGAAGACATGAGGACATACCCAATAATGTAGTGAATGCAACATATTGCAACTTCTGTAGATGGATTGGAATTTCATTTGCGATATCATGATGAATGATGGGGAAGAAAGGTGGCCAGTTCTTATCCTCTATAACTACCCCAGCTGAAATAAGAATAAGTGAGATTTGAAATAAAGTCAGTTCACAGAGAGGAAAGTATGATTCGAACCCCTGATTTAGTTCAAGACTATAAAGATATATGTGTATACAGTGGAAAACTACCTCTTGTTATTGCATCCTCCTTCCTTTTAAGTTCCTACATGAAACCAATAAACTTGACAAATTAATTATTCAGAGAATGCCTAAAAGACAAAAGACAGTCCACAGCACCTTGAACCAAATAAAAAACACTAATATTCTAGAGCTAGACAACAGTAATTATCTGGTAGTATATATCCAGTAATCTTACACGAATTCCATAACTGACAAGCCATTGAATAACAAAAGATCTTTGATGAAAGATTGTACTTTCTAATCCGGAAGACAAGCAAGACATAAACTACAAGGCAATGTAGAGCAACTACCCACCTGTTCTCTTTTTTTCAGTTCAGCCTCTTTAGCTTGGAGTTCCTTCTCCTTCTTCTTCAGGTCCTGGTTAGTTATATGAGTAAAAGAAAGGATCACTTAAACCTACGCACCAAGTGAACACATGTACAGTAATCACAGGCAATTAAAAAGTACGAGCTCATTTTATAAAATCTGCTTCACCTTTGAACCATCGAGAGGAATATCAACCGTTGCGCCGCGGTCATAGCCAGCGGGTTCATGAGGAAGAGGGGAAGGCCTAGCAGGGGCGACACTTCCATTATTCTGCAGATTTTAGCAAGTATTAAGTTCCATAATACATAATGAGGTACTGTTTACAATAACTAGGACTAAAAGAACATACAATTGGATGTTCTCACTATTCAGCAATGAAGATCAATGCCTTGCATAATATGTACACAAGAAAGGAAAAGGATTTGAATTCAGCTTTAACCGGATTGTAACTCTTCTGTTCCAATTATTTCAGAATATAAAACAAACTAGAATGAGAATCACAATATCATTGCGGACCATAAATACGTCATGGAAAGAGGACAAGGTGTTCAAAAAGTACAGATGCATAAAGATCAGACTTAGTTGTACATTTTGCCAGTTGTGATTCTTCCCGTGGGTAGACAAAATTGTTTTGATATCGCACAGAAGACAAACTACATCCTCGTCGTGCTGACAATTCACTAGTTGCAACTGCAAAATGCACTACCATCTTGTTAAATGAATTCTCAGGTCACTAGAAGGCCTGAGGAGCTAGTATTAAGATACTCGGTGGGGACCCTATCGTAATGGTGGTATTTCAATATTAATATTAATATCAAATTTCGATATTTGTATGGCGTAAATTGCTATCACTGGCTGACTAGGATGATCCAGAGTCTGTAGGAATTGCTTCCTTTTTATACTTATCTTTTTCGAGAGATGGGGCTCCACTTATAAAAATACCTCAGCCTACGCCCCACATATATTAGAAGTATTTGGAATTTCATGGGGTTACAGGAATCTTACGCATTTATGACATATAAGATTATATAGAATTCAAGAAAATGTAACAATTTCATTTTCCAAATCTTCAGTAACTCAGCTTTCAAATGAGAAAACGTTTGGCAACTTTGAAGAAAGCAATCTTATTACGGTCATTAAAAATGGACCACTTCCACAATTCTATTGACCATTTTCTTGAGGACCCTTGGTCTGAAAACAACAAAAATAGAATTACCCTATAAAGCAAATTGAAAATTATAAAAAGGAAAATAAAAGAAGCATGACTCAAGTAACAATTTGCAGGAAGAGTGAAATATAAATGACAAAACTTAATTTCTATCTGTCAAAATCGAACCAATTATCCCACAGATGTTACACAAAACACTAATAATCCAAAGATGTTCGTTCTGACACTGCAGCACATTAAGAACTTTACCATTCAGACAAGTACAAAGGCAAGAAAACTGTGATCCTCCTCCTCAGTCCTCTCCTTAAAAAGAAACTGATATTATTCTCCTGATCTGTTACTACTACTATTCTACAGAAACAAATTCCAAATCTACTGCTGAAACCATTGCATTCATGATTCATCTGATGTAAAAATTCGACCAATACATTGTTATGTTGCGTGATTCTCAGCTGAAAACCAGGTCACAGCTCAATTCTACAATAGTTCAATTATTACAAGCTCGTTCAGTGAAATTCAAGTAGCTCCAAAATCCTAAAAAAGAACAACTATGCTAGCTTAAATTGAACCAAGTATCAAAATGCAATTAACAGATCTGGAAACTGGACCAACGAAATTTAGAAAAAGAAAAAACTCCATACCCCTTTTTTTGATCAAGAACTTCATACCCCCATAATTAACTTTCTGCAAAAACTCTTCTTTTTTTTCAGAACAAGAAAACCACCAATTCAAACCCCATTTAATTTGCAGACTATGAAAATTAAAAATTTCAAAAATAGGGAGCACCAAAGATAGTAGTACTACTAAAGAAGAGTAAAGTGATGTACCGCGAAAGGGTTCACTTCATCTTCAGCAAAAGGATTATCATTGTAACGGCCAGCCATTGGAGCAACTTCGAACGAAGCAATGTTGACAGATCTGGAATCTTGCGGAAAGCGAGGTATATATGTATTTATCAAGCAAGATGCGCGTTTACGAAATAGACGTGGTATCCTACTATATTTCTTACTTCTCTTTCACAGTCTCTCTTTTTTTTTTTTTTTTTTTTTGATTAAGTACTACTCCATATTTCTGCTTAAATGTTGTACAAATCTTTTTGCCAGCCAGTAGAAATTGCACGTTAAAAAGTTATTCATTCACGGGATGACAGCAGTGACAAATCAGAGCCGTTATATAGGTTCTGAGCCCTATAGGGACAATGTCACAATGACACGTGGGATAGGCTCATTGGTTAGTTGAAACAGTAAAGTCGGGGGGTGGGGTCACTATATTATCAAGTTTTTACTTCAAGTGACTAGTGAGTGTCACTGTATTCACCAATATATTCTTTACAGGTTTTTATTTATTAGTCGTTTTGTTAGACTGAATTTGTTGCACGGTAATTTGTACTAACTTTTTTTTTTTGGTCGAAAGTAAAAACTTTATTTCAACCAGATTTTCAATTTACATCACCGGCACTTCTTGACTCCAATAGCAGGTCTCAAGACTAAAGCAATAAAACAAGAAACTATACAACCCTAAGGTTGCCTATCAAAGACCACTTAAAACAAGCGTGGATCTTTCCTCTAGCTTATTTGCTATGAATTACAAATTAGGATAACTATTCAGTGTAACCAATACAGGTTTCCATTTGCATTTCTATTGTCCTGTTATGTGCACTTGGATTGTAATGTCTTTAGCTCTGTCATTGGCCTCTCTTTTCTGGTTCTGAAATCTTCTATCATTTCGTTCCATCCAGATATGATACACCACTGCTGCAAACACAACTCCTAGAATTATTTTCCTTGGGTTCCTATTGTTAGCATTAGCAGATAACCATTTTACTTCAGCTTCCCAGTTTGTGACACCTCTTTGATACCTTAGCCAACTTAGCATTCCTTTCCATAATCTTTTTGAGTAGGAGCAGTCAAAAAACAGGTGATCATGTGTTTCTTCTATATCTCTTTCACTTAACACACATGATTGTGGCACCTGAACTCCCCATTTCGCCAATATGTCGACAGTAGCTTGCCTTCTTAATATTGAATTTTATATCAGTTGCAAATGATTCTATGACTGTTAAGTCAGTTGCCCACCATTCTCTAGCAGTGAAAATTTTTCTTACTAACCAGCTGGCCTGCTTTGGAGCATCCATGGTAGTAACATCCTTCTGTTTTATGTAATGACTGTGGATCCACCTAATCCATTACTTATCCTTCTTTGCCATTATAGCCCATAGGAGTTTAGTCAAAGCAGTCTTATTCCATATCTCATAATTGATAATATTTAGACCCCCAGTAGCTCTTGGTTTACGCAGTGTTTCCCAAGCAACAGGAGCTCTATGAGCATTGTCATGTACTCCAGTCCATAAGTAGCTCCTACAGATGTTATTAACAAGCTTAATGACTTTCTTTGGAATGAGGAATACCTGTGCCCAATAGGTCTGCATTTCAAATAGGACACTCTTAATGAGCTGTAATCTTCCAGCATAGGAAAGGAATTTTGAAGTCCAGCTTCTGATCCTATCAACAATCTTCTCAACTAGTGGCATGCATTGATGGATAGTGAGCTTCCTTGTGGACAGAGGAACTCCAAGGTACTTGAATGGCAGAGTTCCCAATGTTAAGTGTAACTCAGTTAGCATTTTATCTTTGAATTCCATAGGCACCCCCGCTATGTATAATGAACTCTTTTCCAAATTTGCTTTCAGCCCAGAAACAACAGAGAAGTGTTCAAAAGCTTCCATCATTAGCTTCATGGATACTTCATCTGCTCTACAGCACATCAGTATATCATCAGCAAAAGCAGATGTGTAGAACTTGTAACCTTGCACATTTTGGGTGGAAATTAAAGTCAGGATTCTAAATGAGTGTCTTTAATGATCTGTTCAGGTATTCCATTGCCAGTACAAACAAGTATAGAGACATTGGGTCTCCCTGCCTTAACCCCTTCTTTGCTTCGAATCTGTTAGTTAATCCACCATTCAATAGTAATGTATAACTAACAGTAGTTACACATTCCATTATCAATGTTACCATCTTGTATGGGATCCCAAACTCAAGTAGTATTGATCTCAAGAAGCTCCATTCTACTGAGTCATATGCTTTTCTAATATCTACCTTGATCATGCATCTAGGAGAGACTGCTTTTTGAGTGTAACCCTTAATCAGCTCATGTGCCATTATAACATTGTCAAGGATGTTTCTACCTTCTATGAAGGCAGTTTGTATAGGCCCCACCAGTAGATCCACAACTAGTTTAAGTCTAGTTATAAGTACCTTAGCAATGATCTTGTACAGTGTAGAACAACAAGCAATAGGCCTAAACTCCTTCACATAAGTAGGATTCTGAACTTTGGGGATCAAAGTGACTGTTGTGCAGTTAATTTCTTTCAGCAGTCTGCCAGTTTAAAAAAAAATTGTACTGCTTCTGTGACCTCCCCTCCAATAATTGGCCGAAATTGCCTAAAGAATTCAGCAGGATATCTATCAATACCAGGTGCCTTGTCACTTGGAAGACTTTGCATAATCTGACTTATTTCCTCTGGTGTTACAGGCTGTAAAAGTTGTTGCTGCTGAGTCATGGTTAGACATGGGCCATTTCTTACTATATTAATATCAATGCCTAGTAGTTCATCTACTGCTGTACCCAGTAATTGTTGAAAGAACTGAGTAAACTCCTTCTGTAATTGTTTGGGCTCAGAGACCTTGATCTGCTGTTCATTATAGATGCAATTAACCTTGTTTCTTGCTTGTCTGGCTCTCATATAAGCATGAAAGTACTTAGTGTTGCAGTCCCTTAGATTGATCCATGTGGCCCTTGACTTCTGTCTCATTATTTATTCCTGAATTGCTTCCCATTTCTCTATAAGTGCCAAGGTATTCCTTTCCTCTTCAATCAGTAACTTGTTGAAATAGTCTTCATTAAGCTTCCCCTGTAGCTCCTTCAAAGTGTCTCTCAATTGATCTAGTTTTTGATCTACCGAGAAGTGTTCCTGTTGAAGGCCCCTAGTTTGTAACTCTATTAGCTTCAACTTCCTCCATATTGAATACATTGAGTGACCTTGAATCTGTTGGCTCCAAGTAGCCTGTACTACCTCTTTATACTCTTGTAATTGCATCACTGTAGATAGTAATCTAAAAGGCTCTTTCACTTTCAACTTAACAACATCAGTATTAATCATTATAGATGAGTGATCTGAGCAACCTGGTAACATGTAGATAGCCTCCACACCATTATACTGTTGGAACCAATCAGCATTCCCAAAAGCCCAATCTATATGACTATAAATTCTGATATCAACATCCCTCTTATTGCTCCATGAGAATTTGTAGCCTCTTTTTGTGTAATGCCCCACCCCAATATCATCAATACAGTTTTGAAAGTCAGTTATCTCTGTTTGATGAACTGGGACTCCATTCATTCTGTCATCCACATGTAGCACACTATTAAAATCACCTATTATAAGCCAAGGTCCATTACTTTGAATATTCTTCAAGTTTCTCTAGAGTAGGATTCTGTGCCGAACAGTATGTAGTCCATATATAAAGGTTATGTAGCTAGTAAAGGATGAATTCTTATCCTTGACTAGGTAGTTTATTATCTTATCTGAGGCATCCATTACTGTGACTTGAACATTTGCTACTTTCCAACCTATCCAAATTCTACCATTTGGTGCATAAGCATAGTTATCCTTGAACTTCCAATCAGCACCCATCTTCCTCTGTATTGCTTTTGCTCTTTGTTGTTTGACTCTAGTCTCTAGGCAAGCTATCATATCTACATTATTCATCAACAAGAACCTTTTGAATTCTCATTGCTTGTAGGACTTATTCAGTCCTCTTATATTCCAGGCCACAATAATCATGGAGGATTATGATTAATAGGATTGGTACTCTCAGCTGCCCTTTGAGCTTTATCATTACTAGAAGATGGTCCCTGATGACTTTCATTTGATGGCCTCCAGTATTGTCAGAGGTGCAAATGAATTTCTTCTAGCTAGTTCTTCATTATTAATATCCTTATGACTCTTTATACCAGCTGATCCTTGAGTAACCACTGCCTGTTTGCCTTTATTAATCACTTGTATCTCTACTATTGTCTCCTATTGTGTAGGTTCCTCCTGAGGCAAAACCTTTGTTCTGTTATTTCCTGTGTCTGTTGCTTTTGGCTTCCATTTCATTCTTGTTCTCTTCCTCCTTCTTCTTTTATGCTGTTTTGGTTCCTCATCCTGCTGTGTTGGTTGTTAACACTCACCAGTACCATGCCCAAACTTGTTGCAATCCAAGCAAAGCTTTGGTTTTCATTCAAAATCCACTCTCCGCATCCAACTACTTCCATCTGGCTTTTCAATGAGTATTTCATCTGGTAGTGGCTGTGTGATTTCCATCTCAATGAGTACTCTAGCATATGAAATTCTTTCACATTGTGTTGTAAGTTTATCAGTGCAAATAGGTTTGCTTAGCAGACTAGCAATCCTACCTAAGTTTTCCTCAGCCCAACACTGGATAGTCAGCCCAGGTAGGTTAACCCATATAGGAACTATTCTCATAGATTCATTCTGAATCTGGAAATCCCGATCCCATTCCTTCAAGACCATAGGTCTGCTATCGAAGGTGTAAGGTCCATTTTGCACAATTAAGTTTTTGTCCTCCATAGATTCAAATCGAAAAATAAAATACCCATCGTCATGAAAAAGTACCGTTGGTGTCGTCACTAAATTCCATACTCCATAGACGAATTTGAGCATCTCCTTGAACGACGAATTTTCCCCTAGCACGTATCCAATCAAAGATGTTTTCCATCGCTTACACTGTTGTTCTCTCTCTTTTGGGTTCAGCTTGTCCATTTTCACTCCATCCTTTACTACCGGAGGATAGAACTTCAGTTGCATGCCTTGTGTTTGAACTATGTTGCCTTTAACTACCTCTGCCATTGTCTGCTTTGTACTTTGAGACCCAGCTGAGTAGGTTAATTTACGCACCGCTGTCAGCAATCCCGGTTCCATTACTTGCGATTCATCCCTCTCCGTTGCCGGTGGGGCTTGCATGACAGTAGGGGCACTCCCCATACCTGGCATCCAATGTAACAGTTGCATTGGGGCTAATTTCTTGGGAATACCACTTTTTGGTGTAATTAATCTATTCATAGTATCAATTGGAAGAGGTGATTGTGTAGGGAGGGGAAGGTGATTACGGTGTGTCATCGTGGCCGGCGAGGTTAGTTACCTTGTAACTTTTTAAATCTATGATTCTTTTAATTAGTAAAGTAGTACTAATTCCATCTCCAACCTTTGCCTATATTTTCTCCTCCAAAGTAGAGTAAACTCAAAATGGATTAAAATTACTCCAATAATTACTTCTTTTTTTACTACAAAAAAGAATATTCCATTTTATATTTTTCTCTCCCTTCAATATTATATTGTTATCTTTTATTTAAAATTTATTTTCTTATTTCTATTAAAGAAATTCTATCTTTTTTTCTTTTTTACATATTCATCACATATAATTTATATTTCTTTCTTATATAACCATTTAATATAAAATTATTTTATACCAGAAATTTTTAAATATTATAGATTATATATATTAACGGATAATTCAAATAAAAGTGAAATCATCAAGATACAAGAGAATTAAATACATATTACATTATGGTAAAATTCAGATTAAATACTACATAAATATTCCACTTTCACCTCTAGTATGCTCTCATAAATAATCTATTAATACATTATGAAGTGTAAAATGATCATCTTTGTCAAAAATAATAAATGCACGAAAATTAATTTATCAAATTATACGCCAAAGTTAAGATGTAAAATTAATATTATAAAATATTACATAAACATAATTAGGTATATAAAAAGATAAATTAAAAGAGTTAAATAATAATAAAAAATAATAATAAAGTAATAAAATAAGGGAGGAGATGAATCCAAATTTGGGGTGACATTATTCATCCCCATTTTGGGGGCAAAATACAGCAACATTGGAGCCAAATTTCTCCAAAAGCTGACTGCATTATAGCAAAATGCAGCAACGTTGGAGATGGCCTAACTACTAAGTGAAATATTTTTAAAGGATAGTTTAGACAAATACTATTGTAGTTAATGCTATTAAATGTCATGTTCTAAAGAGTATACAAAAACCTTAATAATACTATAGATTATAATTTATATGGACAAAAAGTAAAATCAATGAATTTAACTAAATATATATCCGAGACAAAGATAATGAATGTGTCACCACCGGATCCCGTTGCCTAATTTTAGCTCTGAAATTTAAAGAAAAGGCGAAAGAATAATTTTAACTTTATTTACGGGAAAACATTTTTTTTCATAAAGAATTAAATACTACATGCTTTTTATAAATCCGGCCGCAAATTGGTAATTTTATATGCTTTCTGGTAGCTTAACCAGCTATTAAAAAGCACTCTTATATAAACTAACATAATGTTTGGAGAAATTGTAAAATTATAACAACCTTAAAGTGATTATCCATTGACCATATCCATCATTGCACAATTGAATACCTGTGAAGAAAGTGTTACAGCAAGTCCATGTTGAAAGGGTGAAGAATATTCTTGTACAAACAAATGAAATGTACAGCAGAACAAATAAAGATTTACAACTTCAGATATACCAATTAACAACCATAACAAATAAGCTCTTAAACAATGGGGTTAGTGCATTTTTATGCATTATGGCTTCTGTTTAGCCTAAATGAACATTAGAATGATTGCAAAAAATTGTACTAAGAATCAGGATAACCGAGCTGTGTTGGTCTGAAATCACGCTGTTCTAGCCTGCCTTTTGTCTCTGAGGTATGAATTTCTGGTTGCAGGGCACGACATCTACAGTCCCAAAATCTTGAGTCCAAGTATCTCAGCTCGAGTTAAATTTCTTACGAAGTAAAAAATCTTGAAGTTTTGGTCACACCGCGGCTGAATCTGCTATAGAATGCATGTCTAGTTCAAGTCATTCTTCATCGGATCTACTTGGAGATTCTCTTCTAATCATTTGTATGAGGTCTTGAACAACTTCTGACATTGGTGGCCGGAATTCTTGTTCGGCCTGCAACAAAATATCAAAGATAGTTAATTAAAGCTATATGTGAAGGCAAAGCCTATACAACAGCTAAATAAATCTTAGTCATCCTTGGAAGGCAAAGGTAATATATCTGCTGCATCTACAAGCTTTAATTTGATGAATGTGGTATCCTCAGTAAATCGTTAGTTGATTCGGACTTTTCAAGTGTTGTTTGCTTCTACTACAACAAACCCACACTCTTCACCGGGTCACAAAGAGACTTTGAGACACCTGGGCCAGAAAACGATTTCAAAACATCAATCTTTTTAGAAAGATGGGAAGTTTCCGCTTATTGTCCTTGCAACTTTAACTATGCCTAAAAACTGGTACACTCATACTACAGATTCACAGAAGTCCTTAAACCGGTAGACACTTCAAATTCTACTGATTAATAGAGACAAAAGCGAACTGCGTAAATCTACAACTCCTATTTTGACGTAGTACAGTCCCTTTTTTTCCAGTGATAAGAAATTAACGATTTTACATGTTACAACTTTCCTTGTTTGTACCCAAAGTTTGATGAAGGAATGAAATAGTTGAGATTAGGATAAATTACTTGCTTGTAAAAAAAAGAATTTATGCGTAAATGCTTGTATAAATATTGAGAGAAAGGACAGCCTGGCTATGTGACCCATTCAGAGATCAACTGATGCCCAGAAGTAAGCGGACTGGTTTTAGTGGTCAGAGAAAGAACAAAAAGAACTCACCTGAACACAGCGGGATATTATGTCAGCAAAATGTGATAATGACTTAAGTGGGTACTTTCCCTTGAGCGAAGGATCAACCATCCTCGTCAAGGCATCAATATCATGTAGCTGAGGGATTGCCCATCTGACCAAGAATTGCTCTCCCCGACTTCGAGTTCTGAATATGGTATATACGTAATGATTAGCTGGGAGAAAAAGATGCAACAAAATTTACTCATTGGGGTGCAAATGGCTTTACCGGTCATATGACATTCTGCCTGTTAAGAGTTCCAGCATCACCACGCCAAAACTGTAAACATCACTCATAGAAGTGTAAATCCCTGACTCAAATTCTGGGGCACCATAGCCGTAGGTTGTAAGAAGTTGTCCTGACAACTGAAAATAAGTACATCATTTATACTATTTTCAAATTCTTGAAGGACATAATGCATAAAAAAAATAAGAAAAGGCAAGGTTTCAGAATCAACTATTTCTAAACAATGATTTCATCCATTTAGATTAGTCATGGTTCTTACTGCTCTACTCCAATGTCTTATTTAGAAGCACTTTAATTATCACTACACTCCTTTCTTAACTGTATATTCAGCTCACATCTTCACTTCCAGCATAAACCTGGTATTTTATTTCCCCAAGGCAAATGTTCCAATTTGTTCCACACTTGTAATACAGAATTAATATTAGGATGGGAAAGTTACCTGACTCACAGCACCTGATGATATCAGTGAAGCTAAACCACAATCAGAGACATGCACAGCCAACTCATCATCAAGGAGAAGATTGACAGACTTGAAGTTTCTGTGAATAATAGGTGGCTCACAGACCTCATGGAGATACCTTCATTGCACAAAGAGAACAAATAGTTAATACATCAGATTCAACATTTGCTCTAACGCACTTGTCAAGCAAATCTAAGATAAGACCACCTAGCAAGCCCACTCCCTAATACTTTATAGGGGGTGATGGTGTTTTCTTACAATCATCGTGTTCAACCTCCCTTGCATGAACACATGCAGTGGAAGAAGGAAATGTAGTATACAGCGACACGTGCAAAGTTTAACATATAATTATAACTACCATCTCCAACCATTCCTGTCATGTATTATGTACAAGGCAAGAAAGTTCAGGACTATAATTAGGTCGTGATTTGACCTTTTTGCAATGTTCTACTGCTAAGTTATGACTTAGTGCTGTTTGCAGAAACTTCTTATAGATCACTACCAAAAGAATCTTCACGGTTCACCACCAGATTTATTAAGAGTATTTATATATATATTATATATACATATTCGCATACTTGCATGTGTAGATATGTGTGTGTGTGTGTGTATACATACATATGTGCAGGTGTCAATAACAATTTGACTTACTCCAAGGCTCTTGCAGCTCCAAGAGCCATCCTGATCCGGGTATCCCATGAAAGAAGTTTCTTGAACTCATCATCAGAGTGCAGTGCGTCTTGTAGTGTTCCACTACCGCAATACTCATAAACCAGAAGCCTTTGACCATGCTCCGCACAATAGCCCATCAACTCGACAACGTTAGCATGACGAATTCCGTCAATCAAGTTTACAAGGTCAAGAAACTCATCATCCTTCTGTTGATTGGAAACTCTTCTGTCCAGCTTCTTGACTGCAAGTAACTGTGTAAGCATTCAGATGGTTAAGAGTCAGATGTAAAATATTGCAACCACCAAATGATTCAATTTAATGTCAGCAATGGGATGGATAGTGAGATTTTGCGTGCCAGAGAAATGCATGTACGTTACAACTAACTTATGTAGAAAATCAACACAACTGTTGTATATTCTGATTATAAGATAGTTTCTTGGTAGAAAAAGATGCATCAGTATTTGACAGATCCTGTAATACAGCAAAGGACAACTAGGGATACCAACTTAGATGACAAGCTTATACAGGTAGAATGTTGATTTTCACTTTAAATCTGATCAACTATGTTGGCTAGTGGAATAAAATACCACTTAAAGATTAATTTACAACTGAGAAAAGGAATAGGACTAAAAAGAACCACGAAACGTCCTAAAGGAAATTTATGTAACAAGAAAAACCTGATGCAGCAATTGTAGTCATTTCACTTTCACCGGAATTTATAAAATACTATTTACCCTTATAGATATGAGACTCTGGATTTCACCAGCAAACCATTTTTGCACATAATTTGATCAGTCTGACAATAATTCTTAATCAATTAAGCACTTATATACAAGAGCAGCCCACGTGATGCAACTACAGATTAAGAAGCTTCTTTAATGCTAGCAGAAGACCAGTCAAAAAGACCCCCAAAAAAGCAAGTTGAGAAGAGAAAAACTATCTAGGTTCTGGATAATCTAGCAGGGATAGGATAACACAGTTAATAATTTCGGGTATCTAATTATATTGATTTCAACCATAACTTATACCTTTCCATTTGGAAGCTCTGCCCTGTAAACAGTTCCCAGCATTCCTGATCCTATCAGATTATCTTGAGAAAAGCTGTTGGTGTATTGCTGAAGAGATGCGATTGTGTAAGATCTCACAGAAGTTAGTGGAAGTGGCCTGGTTGGAAACTTCATGGCATTATCTTCAGCAGGTGAAATTGGCTTCACAATAACTCTCTCTTGTGCAGGGGGTGGCGGTGGCGGTGGCGGTGGAGGGGGTGGAGGAGGGGGTGGTGGCGGCGCCAACAGATCAATATCAATTCTGCTTAGGTTTATCTCACCAGTATCCTTCTTTGGCACTGCACTCATGCTTTGCACATTTACCTCCTGCTCATGCTCTGGCATGGGAGCGCGAGCCGGTCTTCTTGGTTGTTGCTCTTCCTTTGGCCTTACTAGAGGAGGAGCTGTTAAACACACATGAAGTCCACTTATCATCAAAGACAGGAAAGTGAGGGATTTTATATTCATAGGTTTTTAGTTCCAAATGTTGCAAAAACAAATTTTCAGATTCGTGAAATTTTTCGGAGGGCATTTCAGATGATGATAATAGAGAATTTGGAATATTTCACTAGGATTAGAAATTGACATAATTTGAAGACACATGGATAATCACTGTAGATTTAAATGCATGCTTAGATATAAAGTCCACAGATTCAAATAAAGCCTAAATCAAAGAGAAGTAGCTTTCACTGTAAGAACTAAGGAGAAAAGTCAGACTAGGGAACACTAGCAACAATACACGGGATAAATAGTTAAGAGGTTTTAATAATTTGCAGTACCTTTCTCTACATCATGTCCAAGTTGGACCAATGAACCATTATCTCTACGATTCTCCCTGGACCCCACAAAAGGAGCTACTTCATGCCGTCTGGACCAATTACTCTCTTGCCTATCCTTAAGGCATCTTGGCAGGAAGAGCAGGATTGCTATAACCAATATTATAAATGACAAAACTGCTACAACGGATATCCAGACTACCCTTTTAATGGACTTTTTGCTTCCTTTTGAGCTGGATTCTGCAGTTGCTGTTGGTCCATCAGCCTGTTTTCCAGGTTTTCTTCCAGAAGTTGGTGGTGTCTGCGCCGGAGTTGGAGGCTTAAAAAAGGGTGGTGCTAGTCCTGCTGGAGGGGGTGCTGCTAAAGAAGTGGGCGGAGGCAAAGGAGCAGTACTACTGTTGAAAGGATTTCCATCGTTTCTGCATGACAAGAACAAAATTAGCAAATAAAAGGACAGCATTAGCCATCTGTTCGTAATCAAGGTCAATCAAAATATATATAAGACACTAGGAGTAAAAGATGAAACAACTGATATGTCATCCTTGCATGGATCAATATGTATCCCTACTAATATCGTTTAATAAATCAAATTTCCAGACAAACAAATCTAAACAACAATAGAATATAAAATTCAGACCTGTGTTCAAACATTGGGTAAAGTTTAGCCTGCAATCATATGAATATATATGACCAAAAAGCGACCATGATCCAGCTTGACAGAACTATTTAATTTATGAAATATCTCTCTTTTTCTTCTTCTTTTTTGACAGATATGAAACATCATACCATGGGTGTTATATGGTTTTGGTGCACACTACACTCCTTTAGCCCGTAAATGTCACATCTTTCCAATTTATTGTGTGGGTGCTTTTTTATCCAACTGTTAAGAATTTGAGCAGCATAATGTTAGGAATATTCTTTTCCAGGTGATGGTGCTTATGATGTCGAAATTTGGCTACTTTGCCTCATGCAATTTGAAATTATTCTTATGTTTAGTCATCAAGCTGTCGTTTATGCTGTGAGCGCACAAGCAATTCTGATCCAAGTCAGCGTCATAAACCGTTAAAACATAATCTGGATTTGCAAGGTAAAAATACTTTTCGAAATGTCACATCCCCGGTAAGTTAATTCTGTTGTGCATTTGCTAAGCAAATTTAAGTTGAAGCCTATAACTCCTAGTATTTAGTGTCACTAGAAAGTTCATAATTTGTTGTAGTTGGCCAACAAGTTAATTCCCAAAAAGCTAATTATGAAAAAATAAAAGCTCATGAACTGTTATATTGGTAATGTCATTTTCCATAAGTTTGCACCCCTCGATGACGGTCGTATATATCCTTTTCACTTATCAATAAAATGAAAACCTAAAATGTACATAGTATCAGACACATCCATAAATACTTCAATCTTCATCATCAACATGCTCTCAAATACAAGTGACAAGGGGTGGCAACTGGCGGGTCGGGTCGAATATGAGCGGGTCGAAAATGGACCATGAAAAAACAGATAAATTATCCGACCCAACCCATATTTAATACGGATAGAACCTGGGTTAACCGGTGGATAATATGGATATCCATATTATCCATGGCTTCTTGAATATGATCACTTTTGAGAGAATTCTTAGGAGTCGTTTGGTAGGATGCATTAGGTAAAATAATGCATGCATTAGCTTTGTGTATTAGTAATACTTTGTTTGGTACACTTTTTGAACCTATGCATTAGTTATACACCCTATTTGGTATTATCCTATGCATAACTAATGCATAAGAAACCATGGTATTAACAATGCAATGGGTTTTAATGCATGCATTAACTTAGTTAAAGACAAAATTGTCCTTCAAAATTTATGCTTGGTTAAAATATGCTATTATATTAATGAAAGTTTGAAATAATCCAAGAAAGTGAGAAATAAAATTATATCCCTAATAAATAAATAAATACTTAGTATATTTTTTTAAATAAATAAATATTAAATTCGATACTACAATATAGGTAGACAAATCAAATAATTTTTTTAAACCTTTTTCATATAAAAACATTCCTCAATATATGTTTCTTTTAAAAAAATAAAGTGATGGACTGGTTATGAGGGTATTTTTGTAAACAAACAATTCCTTTAGAAATTGTTCAATTCTTTAATACATCAAACCAAACAATGGATAAGAAATATGCCAGCATAACTAATGCCAGCATAACTAATGCAAGCATAACTAATACCGGCATTACTAATACACCCTATTCAGCATTATTCTTATACACTCTACCAAACGACCCCTTAGTCTACCAAACTTGAGGAACCCTCAATTTGAGTCTTTACAAATACAAAAGTTAAACTCATTAGTTACCAATAGGTTATCCATTGGTTATCCATTTTCTAAGTGGATAATTTGGTTCTTATCCATATTTGATCCGTTTTTAAAAAGTTCATTATCGAACCCATTTTTAGTGGATAATATGGGTGGATAACTGTTTTTTTTATCCATTTTGCCACCATTACAAGTGACTAATGAGACTTAAAGAACAAAGGACTCCACTGAACTGAAGTCCCTTTGCTTATCCCATGATAAAACCCATTTTCTGTAACTTTCTGTGTCAAAACAAGAAGAACAGTTTTGAAAATAGTGTTCTTCAAATTGAATAGCTTCATTTTCTAAAATGCTCTTGTTGAATAAGGTGCAGCTAACATACAGGATAGCATACTACACACCTTTCATAATACTTTTTTCTTGCTTGTTACTAAAGAATGTTGTAGTTTGGAACAAGGTTTTTCTAGCTTATAGACATTTAACAAGGTCTAGTTTGGAACAAGGTTTTTCTAGCTTATAGACATTTAACAAGGTCTTGCATGCACACACGCAAACACAAACACAGAAGTTTCTAGGAACATAAAACGTTTAAACAGATAGGTTCAGAAATTGAGAATTTGCTGACAGATTGCATTTGGTATTGCCAACCAACAAACTTAGCGTGTTACACAGAAGCCATTCTGAACTTTTCCCCTCATCCGTACTTAATGAGATGATGAAGCCTATTGAAGTCTTATCAGGAAATGCTCTCCTCTTTTGTGAAGTTCGATATTCATCAGTATGTTACTATAAGTTTATTATGGTCTGAACTGGGTAGCAAATATGAAGCTGAGTACAGATGATACATGTGCTTCAGCTTTAGAAGTGGTGAGTGTAAAGGGTAAAGGTTGTTTATGTTAATGATTGTATTCCTCCAGCTCTTATCTTCCTTAATTGTCAATAAATAACTAGCTGATCAAGGTTGTTAGCGACAACGTCGCTCAGAATTGAGAAAGAGCGTATTAACAAAAAATAAAGGGCAGCTTGTCATGTAATAATTGAACTTCAACATGGACTGTGTCCCAATAATTTCTGAATATGTGTGTAGAAGATTGCTTTGAACAAAGAGGCACAAGAATGTAATAGGCGGCCAAGAGTATGTTGTAGCTTACAAGCTGGAAGATAAAGAACAATATTAGAAGCAGAAAGTGAAATTTACTTACTTGAAATTTGGAATAGAAAACAACTTCTGAGGTATGGGCCCAGAAAACAGGTTGTTTTCCACATTCCTAGAGGGACACAAAAGATAGGGAGATATTAGAAAGATGTTATATCATTCTAAGGACCTCGAAATAACATTTGAGTTAAATATAGTTAGGAAGAGTACAAATCTGCGAGGGGAAGATCTTGTAAAACATCAAGAGTTCCAGAAAGCTGGTTATTCTGCAAACGTCTGGAGATCAAGAAATTAGCTATTTTTGGTCATAAATAACAAACCAAATTAACAAAGATGGAATTACTCACAGAGTGGTCAAGGAGGACAAGTTTCCTACTGATGACGGCAAAGCTCCGCTTAAATTGTTACTTGACAAATCACTGTCAGAATACAAATAATCCACCCTGTTATAGACAATTTAAAACATCTACGGGAATATTGAAATGCTTTTGTTTCTGTGTCATACAGATTAACCAATGCTGTAAGGCCTTGAAAGGAATCAGGAATTTCTCCACTCAGTTGATTTCCATTGAGAGACCTGAGAAAAAGAGAAGTATAACTGAGCAAAACCATGATTATGATAATGGGAAATCTAAATTATAAGCTTTAAACTCACATTGCTGACAGCTGATTTAAGGAAGATAAAGAACTAGGGATACTTCCCATCAACTCATTATCTGAAAGAAAACTGCCAAAAGGGTAAAGACTATCAAATGGTTTGCTCAAAAAGTAAAGCTGTAAAAGTTCACACCTCTCTCTATTTCTCCTTCCAGGGAAATCATAATACATACATATTCTGCAATGTAACTGGCAGATTGGATGGGAGGGTTCCGCCAATTTGATTGTTACTCAGATCTCTGCCACAAGATGTTGCCACAATTATTGACCGCACGTTACACAATAAAGGATACCTCTAAAAAGGAAACATTCACATAATATGCAGCACATGCACGCAAGACACAATCAAATGGAGTATATGTTAAAAGGAGATATATCCATGGGGGGCGTACATCGTTTGGAGAGAAGAAAATCCTGCTAAGCTATCCCCTAATTCACCTCCCAAGTTAGCAACATTCAATTTACTGCAAAGAACATGATTAGAAGGATTCACACATTATGACTTCCAAATATCCATGAAATGCTGCAGCAAATGAAAGGTAATTACATGGTTAATATATTTGTATCATTGCATACGACCCCTTGCCATTGTCCATCACACGGATCTCCACTGATACCCCACCCAGGAAGGGAAGGCGATCCCATGGCAGCATGAAAAGCATTAATTGCAGCAACTAGACCAGGAGAAAAGGAAAATGTCAAAGTTAGAAATTCAAACTTAATAAAAAAATTCTAGGCATCGATTCATGAACAAATAAGAAACTTAGAATGTGATCAATTGAAGAATGCTAACTTCACACAAACCCAAAGGACAAAGTTTACAGAAAGCAAGGTGGCATTTTAGTCGATATTTGGGATAATAAGGGCATCTGCAGAGTCCACATATCGCCCGGGGAATCCATAGCCCCCCAAAAACTTAGGTGTTAGGAGTCAATACTTGATTTCCTCTTTTTTTCCCCTTCCTTTTCTTCTAAATTAAATTAATGATAGCTTTCCATTATAATATAATTGGTAACTGCGGCGTGCAAGTTTTTCAGGAAGCTAAGTGAAGCATTCTTAAATTCATTCTTGAATATAGGAAATGGATAAAGAGGATTCATATAACCGACAATTTTTAGTAAGTCTCAGCTCCTCCCCTGAATTAAGAACCCAGTAGAGTTCAAGTTAACATCTAGCATAGCTTACGAAATCAGTCCCCCATAACCAGCATTGCCCAGAACATGAAATAAGCAGTCCTCTCCTTCTACATAATATTTTGTGAGCAATCGAAATGGGCAAAACAACTCAGAATTTAGTAAAAGTTTGTTCCTTACCATCTCCAGGGTCAGTTTCATGTGAAAGTTGAACAGCAAAAATTAACAGAAACCACACCGAGATCTCCAAATTCAAGCACCATACTACGGATCTCTTCCCACCCATTGATCCAAAGCTGTGACCTTTTTCTTCAATATACCCTTTCTTTGGAAAAACAGACTGCATAGCCAATACATAAAAGAACTTCCAATCTGGAATAAGAAGAAAAAAAAAAACATCAGTATCTTAATCAAGCCCAAAAACTAAAAAACAAACAGAAGTACAATAACAAGAACAACAACAAAGAGGAAAATGGGCATCCACAAAAGAAGTACACAAACAAATCTTGAAAAGAAACTAACTTTGAACAGTTGAAGAAGGTAAAATAGAAGTACAATAACTAGAATAAAATACCCACCATATAGTAAGTGAATTATGTGGAAATGATGAGAATGAAGCTGAGAAAAGCATCATTATTTCATATAAAAGAAGAGGCTTTTACTCTGATAATTGAACAGAAAAACAAAAAAGAAGTAAAAACTAAAGATGCAAGCAAGCATTGTATTTAACAGGGGCAAATAATCAAACACTTATTAGTTGTAAATCTGGAGAGAGAAAATTCTTTTACCTTTTGCAAATAGCTGAAAAAAAAAAAAGAAGCTAAATGTGTAAAGTTGCAAAGAGAAAATACAGTGAAGAGAGACTTCTTCACTTCTTCTTCTTCCCCACTCTTTTCTCTCTCTAAAAAAAGGACAATGTGTGTGACATTAGGACAGTGGAATTCTAATACACACATATCTGCATTTTTAAGTCCACTCGCGGATGCAACGCGTGGTTTTGTTTTTTACTTACACTGACACGTGGAATCATTGTTGTTATGTGATTAACGGTCTTATTAAGTTCAGAACGTGGTTTCTATGCGCCGGATGGAGCGTGTGACGAGATGGGTTGCTGTTTTTCTTTTTCTTAACTTAAGTGTAGTTAAAATCGGAGTTTTACAGTAAATTATTAGCAGTAAATTATAGCCGCCAATTTTGGGAAGGGGACAGAGAAAACGAAAGAAAATAAAGGAAAAAGGAAAACAAATGGAAATTGCAATAGGCTGGCAACCTATATGATTTTCTGTGCTAGCAGCTTTTCAATTATTTTCTTGATTTAGTAAATTAATTGTTTTTTGTTTGTTTTAATATACCAAATTGTAGGATCCAGAATTCCATGGTTTCATTTTTATTACTAGTACTGTAGTTGATATTTAAGTCTTATACTTCTCTACCAAATGGTCCAGGAGATATTTTATTGCTTTTTTCATTAATATGGAAAACTACTAATGATTTTCTAATTAGTCTTTAAGTTCTGAAATTTGTTTAATGTACTATGTTTGATGTATGTAAGATTGTAAGTAGGGCATGTTGAATGTTGAAAAGGATGTCGGTAGAACGTCAAAATAAAGCTCACATGGCTGCCACCATAGTTTAGGCATCTCTATTTTGACATTTTATGCTGCTGCACCAATTACTGTGCGTGCTTCAACGAAAAAACAAAAAAAATTATTTGTAAGACTTGTCCGAAATAGAGTTTTAATTTTACCGACCAGAGTTGTGGTCGAATAGTAATCATTTTTAATTAGAGGTCTCGGATTTTAATCCTAGTATAGAGTCAATTTTGTTAGGAAGTGCGTCGAACCCAATATTGATACAGTACGCAGGGTGAAAAACAAAAACAAAATTCTAATCTTATTGAAGGTCTTCAGTTATTCTGTTCTTCCCTCTTTAATCATTCATGGGCTAGACAAACACGAATTTCAGTATTATCATTCTGTAAGTGGTGAAAGAAAAGCAATCTTTTGCAACCAAAGAAAAAAACACTACTTAATTATAGGATGAGAATTTTGTGCATAATAAACAAAAGATAATGTCTTACAAGAGGTTATCCGTTTGTTTCTTTTATTATATAATAAATAAAATAATACTAATAGATATTAGTATTATTATCCATACTTATCCTTTTTTTGCCGAATCTATTTCTTACACTTTTTTTGTCAAAGCATCTTAGAATTGCATTTCCTAATTTTAAGTCTCCACTTCACTTTACTTTACCTTTTAGACCCAAGAATAATCCTTTATTCCATATAAGACTATGAAGTTCAAGAAACTGATAACTTGGTGGGCTATCTAGTTCTTTGTTTCTTGCAGATATGGAAAACAAACTTTAGTTAAAAGATAGTTAATAATTTGTTTAGTATGCTTTGTACATAATTATTTAAAGTAATTTAAAGGATAAATTCTTAATTTTCCCTTTTAGTATACCAAGTCACAAAACTATCGTTTATAATAAAAAGTAACTCAACTAGAACAATAAAAGTTCTCTAAAAAGCGGGAGTAATATTCAGTTGATATTTTTACTATATATAATAGTTACGAAATAACGATTAAATTAATGCCAAAATTTATTATATAATCCACGTATCTGAAATTATGTACATTAATATGAGCTTTTCGATATTTTATTCAATGATAATTTTTCAAAATAAGTACAAGAATAATTTCCTTTAACTAGTGTCCAAATACAAAGAAATACATATGGTTATAATCTTCTCAAAGTTGTTCGTTTTAAGTTCTTTTAATTAAATTTTTTATTGTAATCTCAAGAGGATAAGATAAGACTCTGTGTTACTTGTGGCACTTGAATTCTTTGATTGCAACTACGTACTCTGGTTGAATAGATTGGAAAGACTGAATAAACAAAGTTGACATGATTTTTTAAAGCAATGATGAAGTATTGAAATTAAATTTGCTGACTGGACTACATTACTAATAATCTTAAACAAATTAAATTAAATTAAGATGAAGTTTGGTTGGTCAATCAAGCAAATTGCTTATGCGGCTATGCTTTTAAAACATTCTCAACTTTTTATTGTCTTTTTATGTTTGTTTTCTCAATCTAACAAACTTTTTGACGAAAAGGAATATAATAAACGATAGTAAGAAAATTAAGTGAGTTAAGTATATCTATTTCTGAGCAGAATTAAGTGGCCGTTTGAATATAAAAATTGTAAAATTCTAAAAAAAGTGAACTTTTTTTTCAAGTGAAAATTGTAGTTGAAAATTAGAATTGTGTTTGGACATGAATATAATTTTGGGTTATTTTTTAAGTTTTGTGAGTGATCTGAATGAAAATTTTGAAAAATAACTTCTTGGGGTTTTTTAAATTTTCGATAAATTTCAAAATTCATCTTCAAGTAAAAATTAGAAATTTTATGGCACAAACACTTATTTCGAAAAAATATGCAAATATTCTTTATGTCCAAACGGGCTCTTAAAATCAAGTATCGGCTTTTCTTCCAATTTTTACCCTTTTATTCGTGGAAAGTGGAGAAAAGGTATTCTTTTTCTCCTTGAACTAAGCAAAATATTAATAAGTTAAAAGAAACTTAGCCTTTAAGTCAGCAGTCAACATGATTCATATTCTAACGAGAATCAAATATCAAGAAAAGAATTAAATCTCTCAGAGCATATTCTACCATTTGTAATTAAACCTATTTTATATATTTTGTAAGAGGAGAGGAGAAAGAAAAGCTACTTTTGTAAAAGCTACTGTACTTAGTTGTGGCTGTACTAAACAAAAAAATAACTTGTTGTGCCCACAATAATCCTTTTCTGGGAAATCTATTTCTTACACTTTTTGTCAAAGCATCTTAGAATTTGATTTCCTAATATTTAGGCCTATTTTCCCTTTTAGAGGCACAAGATTAATAATCCTTTATTCCATTCAAAACAATGAGCATAGGTTCTTTGCAACACTACCTGATTATAAGAAATGGATAACTTGGTTATCTTATTACACCACAAATAGTTTACTATCCAATTGTGCATTCCCTTGTGAATATTCACCAAATTTCCATTGAAATACTTTAGAACTTCTAGCCTTTTTTTTTTTTTGGTGTGGTTTAAACAAATTATTACATGGAAGAAGTGAATTATTACAAGGTAAAGAATTTTACCCGTACCAATAATGTGAAAGTTTAGGTAGCCAACTAATTATTAAACTACTGAAATTCTCTATTAATATTAGTTAATATGAAATTTAAGCTTTTCTTTATTAGATACTTTTCAAGCAAAGCAGTAGAATAATATTTTCTCTAGTACGAGTCCAGAACAAAAAATCATGGTGCTTTTAATTATATAATACAATCTTCTTAAATTAAATTATTGGTTTAACTTCTTTTTATTTAACCCAGAAAATCAGAGTTACCGTGATACAAAGCGCTATTTCTTACTTGTAGCACTTGAATTCTCGACTATACTAACTACATACTCATCCTAATACACTGGAAGTGAATAAACAATTTTGAAATTAAAGATATAATATTTAAAGCAATGGTGAAGCATAGAAGTTTGCAGTATATTCATGCTAAGCTTCTCTGAAAAAACTGAGGTAATTAAAGGTGAAATTTTGTTGGTTAATGGAACAACAATTAAGCTTTTGCCCGGTGGTTACGGCGTAAATTTATGTCATGTCCCTACTATGTACTATGTGTTAGAGGATTTTAAAACGACAGCTTGATACACTAATTTTTCGCTATGCATGGGGTCCGGGAAGGGACCTATATTTTATTTTCAAATATTCTTTAGTCTTTAATATGTACTAGTTCAATTCAATCTACTCAAACTTTTGCGAGAAAAGGGAAGAAAACCAAGATAAGTGAGTTAAAGTATTTTTATTTATGAATATAAATTTAATGGCCTTCCCCTTCTCTCTTTTTCTCTAGGGAGAAGTAGGGAAATGGACTTCTTTTTACTTGAACTGCGGAAAAAGCACATTTAAAGAAGCTTACTTCTTTAATTCAGTTACTATTATTCCTACTTCCTTCCTTACGAAGAATAGTGTACTACTACTAATTAAGAAGTGAAAGCAATAGGAATATTTTGCATTCCTTTGAAACGTTGTATATTTACATTGTATATGTACCCCTACTTATACAAAAGGGAAAAAACAAAAAGACGAAGACCTATAACCAATTCTGTCTGTACAATGGACAGCTATATTTTGTACAATTAGACATCTATATGTGAGACAAGATTAGAGGAGGAATGGTATTATCCTGATCAACAATTCTAGATTGTTCCGTAGTATTATCTTTATGTATTGATATTTTTACTGCTTGCTCAATCTGACTATGAACTTGGGCTCAAATATAAAAAAGCAGTCCAGTTGTCTCTCTTGGTCCAACAAGACTGGACCAAATATTAGCTGGCCCAAATTCTAGATACATCAGTTAGACCCTTGTGACTTCTTTTCCATAACCATTTGATCCGTACGATGAAGAGAAACACCTTTTGTGAGAACTCCGGCAAAACCTCTGTTAACACACCCCCCCCCCCCCTCAAGTTGGAACCCGGAGATCAGACTCCCAACTTGCCTAAAAAAATCCGATGAAGAGGTCCTGCCAAACTCTTTGTGAAGATATCGGCAATTTTGGCTGTAGTGGCAATCAATTTTGATATGCTTTGTTCGTTCGTGAAAAATTGGGTTTTTTGCTATGTGAATCGCAGCTTG